CAAAACAATAATAAATTCGTCATTTTCAATCCATGACTGTTTGTGGGACATTGCTGTGCGCAATTGGCTGCCGCGTTCGCCCACAAATATACTGTTAATTCACTTTACAGCATATTCTGTGAAGCGCTTTGAGACATCAAGAAGACGTGAAAAGCGCTATATCAAATGCAAGGATTATTATATCTCTTTCACAGTGACCCCAACTACCCTGTAGGCAATTCCCCATCCTTGTCATGCGTCTCTCAATCCTTACCACTAATGAAGACAAGAACTGATCTGAATGGCAGGCAGCGAGCAAGCTTTACTGATTTTAAAGCAGTTTGATTTTGAAGTTGGAAGTCCATTGGACGCACACTAGTAAACAGAATTAATGCAAGTTTTTGTACACTGCAAGATGGAGAATAGTCTGTGCAAACTATAATAGTCCTTAATAATAATCCTTGCAATTGTTGTAGCACATGTAACATCAAAATGCCAGAAAGTGTTCAGTGTCACCAGTGACTTTTAGGCAAACATAACGGTCAACTTGCACACAGCAAAGTCCCATGAAGTGAACGACCAACTTATCTGCAAGGTTATTGGCCGAAGCCCTGGGAGAAACTTCCCTTCTCTTTTCAAATAGTCTCACGGGATCTTTAATATCCACTTGAACAGGCAGATGGGACTCAGATTGATGTCTAAATATTAAGAAAGGCACCTGTGACAACACAGCAATCTCCTAGTACTACTGGATCATCAACTTACACTATGAGCTCCTGACATGGGGATTTAAATCCCAATTGTCTGAACTAGAGTCCAGTGTGACCAACTGAGCCAAACTAACACTTTAAGCTAGCCATCAGGATACTGCTTCGGATATGCAAATTTAAACCGTTAAAATCAAAATAGTCAATTTGTCATTAGAACAGCAGTGACAAATGTGCACTTGCCACCTTGAAATGATCCGAGTGGGCGATTCGTTCTCAATTTACACTACCTTTGAGGACAAAAACAACCCTTTTATTGGCGAAAAGTTAGCCTGAATGCAGAAAGGTGATGTCAGAAAATCCATCGCTGTGGTAACGGTTTAGTTTCATATCTGTGCTAATTAGAAATTCCAAACGACGTCAAAAACAGTGAAAGCCAAGTTAAACTTCACACTTCTAAAATTAGGTATTGGGAGGAAAGAGTTCACCTTAAGGAGACAGACTATCAATTGGTCTATCAAGTCTATTAATCTATGAACTTTGCTAAAATGAAATGAATTCAGTCATTCCAACATCAAACAACGTCTCCATTCTAGTTTGTCAGGTAAGAGTTGGGAACGTTCAGCTACCGCTAATGGGAAGAAGCAAATTATCGACCGTCTCTGTAATAATTGTAGGAATCCAACGTAGAGAACATGTTGTTCCTGCAGGAAAACTGGCTAAATAGCCCCACAAAGGAAGAAAGAGCTTTTATGGCACCTTATGACATAAAACATCTCAAAGTACTTGTTATGAAATAGAAGGCTTCAACAGCAGGAAAAACTTCTCACATCCTTCCCAATTCTCTGGGTGTAAAAATAAATCTTGTGACTTCCCTCATTTTGTCTGACAATAATCTTCAGGAGCAGAAAGGAGAACATTGGAGAAAGGGGTTTTAATGCCCTCAAACAATGACATTGTGGAATCACAATTAGCATTTATCAGAAAGTGAAGTCTTGCAGCTTGGAATTTGGAGTTTGAGAAGTTTAGAGTTTGGGAGCTGGAGGCTCTTACTTACATGAAGAAATATATCCCATCTTCTATCAATAGGCTCCTCTCCCCCAACCTCTCACTCCATAAATTACTGTTAAGCAATACAGCTTAAAACTTGGTAGCCTTTATCCAGTACACTTGCACTTTCTCACATCTAGCACAATCAGCTCGAGGTAGTTATGTGATACCGACTGGTTTGGCTCTCCAATGATAATAATCCTTGCATTTGACATAGCTCTTTATCCTGTCTTCGAGACGTCTCAAAGCGCTTCACAGAATATATTGTAAAGTGAATTGACTGTGTATTTTGTGGGCGAAACACGGCAGCCAATTGCGCACAGCGGTGTCCAACAGACAGTCGTGGATTGAGTGACCAAATTATTATTATTTATTTATTTTGAAGGGATGATTACCCCGGGAAAAGCGATCCGCCCATCATCTAATAACCGGTTTCCTACTTACTGCTAGGTAAACAGAGAGTGTGAGGAGTAAAGAAACTTGCCTAATGTTTTGCCCTGCCCGGGAATCAAACCCAGGTCCTCTCGCTTACGATGCAAGTGCTCTAACCATTAAACTACAGGACTCCACAAGTCCTGCTATTGAGCCACACTGGTTGATCTGTCATAGTAGAATTGACTCTATTCTGACATTCTGTTGCCAAGCACATTACTTTAGAGCCAGCTCAGCTCCAAGGAGATGTCGCTTACCTTCCCCCCCACAACCCCCACCACCAAGGATAATTGATGGACTAGTTAGTCATTTGATGAGGAACCGACTCTGTCCGTCTATCTATCAATCCTACTCTATTTCCAGGGCAAAGTTCTTCAAAGCTACTCCACAAAGATAATCAAGCAAATAGTTTTTAGAACAGTAATTCATCCAAACATCGCTCCTGTTTATTAACAAGGACTGGGAAAATATCTATGGACTAGCTAATCAGTGCTCAGTGACTAGTTATAATAATAATAATAATAATCCTTGCATTTGATATAGCGCTTTTCACGTCAGGACGACGTCCCAAAGCGCTTCACAGAACACACTGTAAAGTGAATTGACTGTATATTTGTGGGCGAACGCGGCAGCCAATTGCGCACAGCAATGTCCCACAAACAGTCGTAGATTGAAAATGACCAATTTATTATTGTTTTTTTTTTGGAGGGATTATTATTCAGTTATAAACAAAACACAAAATACTGCAGATGCTGGAAATCTAGAACAGAAAAAAAAGTCGCTGGGAACACTCAACGGGTCAGGCAGTATCTATGGAGAAAGGAAAGTAAGTCAACGGTTCGGGTGCACGACCATTCAGTTCTGATGAAAGGTCGTGGACCCGAAACGTTGACTCACTTTCCTTTCTCCATAGATGCTGCCTGACCTGCTGAGGGTTCCCAGCGATCTGTTTTTGCTCACTGACTTAGTTACTCGTTACCATGACAGACTCCAATGCTATAGCGTCACACGGTTTGTTTTTTTGTGAGGAGAAAATCAGAAAGAAATTTGAAAACATCATCTTTTTTGGTTAATTATCACATTTAGGAGACTGAATAAGTTGGGTCAAGTCCAAATTGTAGTCTGAAGTTGTCAGATCTATGGCTTTTTTGCAGTATGTCATCAAGTTCTTATGATTAGTCTGGATTTGAGCCCAGATTTGATGAAAGGTCGATGAAGTAGTTCCACTCCACCCAGGCGATCACATCACCTCACTTTATTAAATGAAATGAAGCAAGCACTAAACCAACTGAAAGTCACAACAATAAGGTCAAATTTCATACAGAATTCAACCAAAAGTTTCTCCTCCTGACAGAGGTTCGGATCAAGACAGTGAGCTAGCTACTCAACGTCAACCTTCCAGGATCAACCCAATATAACACCAAGATTTTTTTAAAGATGATCCCAGTGTTCTAGGCTAAACCATCCTTCTTGGCTACCTGTTCCATGTTGATAGCTCTTTGTAAGAAAATATTTCCTACTTAGCCTTTGCAACCCTGGAAACGTGAACTCTTCCTTTTGCATCAGTTTACCAAAGGTATTGTTCCTGGTCTACTTTTCCATTAAGAATCTTATAAGATTTCCTCTAAGATGTCCCTGAGGCTAAAGCGTGCTGACGTATCTCGTAATAATTCATAGCTCATACTTTTGATAATCAGCGACATCATTCTATATCATGAGTTAACCGTGCCTTCGGTCACCATCCTACCCCTACCCACCCTCCACTCCCCCTGATTCCAACCACCAGCTCGGGTGCAAATCCCTGACTGTCCAGTGCCTTGGGATGTCGTCCTGACGTGAAAGACGCTGTACAAATGTATTGTTACTAAAACTGATAGGGCTGACACTCTTACACAAAAAATAAAGGATGCAATTTTATTGTATGTTGTTGCAATAACTATCTGCTTCAGAGGATTACAAAACGTTTCAGCAATGTCAGGGAGAGTACAACATTGTGCATCTCAGCAGCTGGCTCAGAGCAACACTCAGTCACGTGTATTCCTGGTCACAGATGTTGATGGCAAAAGATTAATACAAGGTTTTGGCATTTACTCAGAATTAGTGCTGCATCTTCATTTAATTACACTGAACCTAAATCAACCCAAAAATCAGCACAGGTTTAGTACATTTCACAAAATATAACTGTTGAAGTGTTACCATTGCACAATGGGAAAACCGTTGTGTATAACTCAATCTATTTTACAATCTAAAAGAATATTATTGCCTGCAGTCTAGTTGTAAAAATTATGGTTCACAGAATCCCCGTTACAGTAAAATCCCTTCCTTTACCTACATGTTGCTATTGAGAAAACTTACTAATTAATTTTTATTGTAGGCAAATCCAGCAATTCATACCAGCAAGATCCAGCAAACATTCATGCGGTGAATGACCAATTGATCTGGAGGACTGTTAACCAGTTGACCTGTTTCAAATAGCATCGCTTGAAGAGGTTGATGGGAACCTGGTTTAATCTTTCATCTGAAGACAACATCCCCAACGATGCACTGGTTTATCTTGCTTTGAGGAGCAAAGCAGACTCTCCCTGGGGCAGAACTGGCTCCAAAGTGACACATTAACTTCAGCAGTACCTCAACACACTGGAAATCTCCAAGCCGTGGCCTTTGTCAACCTGTCCTAATACTCTCTGAAATTAGGTTGGGGATCATTCTAGACACTGACATTTCCACGTGTAGCTGGTATGCATTAAACTCTTAATCTGATTTGGATACACTTAAGCATGGTGATGGGTTTCTGCAGGTGTGAGACACCGGCTGACCAAACACAAACTAATACAGTGGAGTACTGGATCAGCATTTTGAGACATCTCGACAACGTAAAAAGATGTCAAATGCAAAGATTCTGAAAAGATAGTATGATCATGGGACTTGATCTGGTTACCTATCAAGTATTAGAAGTTAATCTATCAGGAATTGATCTAATTAAACATTGTGTATTCTCTGTTTTCTTTAGTATACAGTACAAAAAGGCACATGTTGTTTATACTTTCATTTATTTCATACTACACAGTATGTGGTACAGTGCACTTCCCATTTACAACATTTAAATGGCTTTAGTTTTTTCCCTTCTGCAAAACATTATACAAGTGCCTCTTTTTTCTGCACTCAAGTTATTTTTTAAACATTGCACCTTTCAACCAACTGTGTATCCCTGTTTTGAAAGTACTATACGTTCATCACAACAGCTCCCGATCAAATTTAGCATCAGGATTTCAAATGACAATGAAAACGAAGCACAAATTGATGCCACCATTTTCCACAAAGTGAAGAAAACAAGCCGTACATACATATCCCGTGCAATGAGTCAACCTCATTTAGTCGAGCGGTTTCATTTTCTTTTCACCACTCTGCATCACCGACAGCTTTGGAGAATACATAATCCCTCCCATTGAAGGTCATTATTCCATCTTTAAGGTAAAATTTCCACCTGTTTTTATTTCTGTGAATCTAAAGCAAACAAAAGAATGAACACCCTCAGCAAACAACTTGCGTTTATAATAGCGCCCTTCACGTAGGATAATGTCTCAGGGCGTTTCCCTGGCCGAGCTAGGAGAAAGGTGAGGGAGGAGAGAGATGACTGTAGGCACAGTTGAAGAGGTAGATTTTGACATGGGTTATGAAGATGAATAGAGGTGGTGAGGTGGGGGGATAGAAGCACAGAGCCATTTTGGCAGCCTAGCCAACAATCAAACAGGAAGAAATAATAATAATAATAGATACCAATTTGTTCTAGAATCTATCCATGACTGGATCAAACCATTTCTGCATCTTTTGGAGCTTATTGGGGAAGAGGATTTTTTTTTAAAACAAAAGCAGATTAGCATATCTTAGAGATAAAGTAATGGTACAGCTGTGAGCGCAGACAAGAGATCTCCAGAAGCAGCTGAGCAAAGAACCATACCTTAAAAAATTGCATTTTTATAGCAACAACAATTAACATTTATATAGCACCTTCACATTGTGCTTTACAAAGACTAAGCGGGAGCTCCTAGAGGGTTGGGGGCAAAGTGACCAAAGACGCAATCAAAGAGATAGGTCTTCAGGCACGATTTGAAAGTATAGACGGAAGGAATGAGGCAGAGGGACAGAGTTCTAGAGGCAAGTTCACCAGCTTCAGATACTTTGTCCCTTGAGGACAGAAGGCATATGACAATCTGGAGTTGGCAGAGTGGAGGAAGTGGCCAGAGGAGCGTAGAAGCAGGAGATCCCAGAGGCTGGCGCAACTCTGTGGCGGCATTTAAAGATGAGGATCTTAAATAATAATAATAATAATAATCCTTGCATTTGATATAGTGCTTTTCACGTCGGGAGGACGTCCCAAAGCGCTTCACAGAACACACTGTAAAGTGAATTGACTATATTTGTGGGCAAACGCAGCAGCCAATTGCGCACAGCAATGTCCCACAAACAGTTGTAGATTGAAAATGACCAATTTATTATTGTTTTGGGTTCTTGGAGGGATTATTATTAGGTGTGTGGAGTAAGGAAACTTGCCCAAGGTTTCGCCCTGCCTGGAATTGAACTCAGGTCTCTCGCTTGCAAAGCGAGTGCTCTAACCACTGAAGTTTAAAGTTGGTCTGCTGGGGCAAAGGGAGCCATTGGAGCTGGGAGAGGTCGGGAACTGTTTTACTTCGGCAAACATAGGAGCATTCTGCACACAGCATGGTCCCACAATCAGCCAGAAATAATGAATTGATCAGGAGGATGGTTGGCAAAGACAATTTCCTTTTTCAGACAGTGGTATCTTTGAAGTCCACCAGAAATATGCCTCATCTGAAGGATGGCACCTCCAGCTTTCCCTCAGTGCTATCCTCCAGTTTCAGCCTAGAGTATGCGCTCAATGAACCTCGCCAAGCAGGCGCCCAACTGAACCAGGTTGTTCTTACCTGTGCAAGAACCCAATTTCTTACCTTGTCATACTGGCAAACAATTACATTATCAGTCTCAAACAGATCAGGGATCTCCTGTTCACTTACATCGTCTTCCGAATTCAAAGGATCCTGTAAAATGCAGTGAATGCAAATTAATCTATTTTCAGTTTGCAACTACATCAACCTTCAAAGAACACAAAATCAAAATAATAATTCACAAAATCCATAAAAGATTGATATGAGGCTATTTCAGGTTTTGAGAGATACAGATTGCCAAAATGCAGACTTGGACAGGTCAACTACTTTGAAAGCACGAACGTCTTGCAAAGGTGACAATGTGGCCTCAGACACTGAAAGTAATTTTGTTGATTGTATAATAAATAATACAATAATCCTTGCATTTGATTTAGCCCCAAATCATGTCTTCAAGACGTCTCAAAGCACTTCACAGAATATATTGCAAAGTGCAGTGACTGTATATTTTATGGGCAAAATTAATATCTTGCAAAGGTGACAATTCATGTTAAAATTTTAGAAGACAAAAATAAAGACAAATAACCCCACGTGTAGGGTTGGGCATTGCTGGGCTGAAAATGAGGAAAGAAAACTAACGCAGTCAGCTTTGTATAGTGCGGGAAAGGAACAACATTTGTGTGATGTTAGTCATGGCAACAACATACTTATGTTGAAAGAACCCTTCATACAAGAATGTCCCAGAAGTGCTTGACGCAAAGTAAAAATGTAATAGCGTACATGCTGGGACACAAGAGATTTAAAGATGCTGACCAAAGGATTTTGAAGACTGGGAGAGAGGTACTAACAAAAGTGGTTTTAAAATAGTTGCACACAGTACAAGGCATGGTGGCTGGTGTCTCAGCCACTAATGGTGGAGTGAAAAGGAGGAGAGGAAACCATGGAACAAAATCAGAACCACTTTCCACTGCCATAAAATTCCTTTATATCTGAGACGTCTCAAAGGTGTGATAAGGCACTATATCAAATGCAAGGATTATAAGTATTTATAACAATTAGTTAATCAAAATAAATTACAGTAGAACCACGTACTGATGGGACTACGTGTCTGTTTAACGACAAAACATCAGTTTTCAGTGGTGACTGTTTGCCATCACAAGATTCCAGACATGCTACCATTTTGTATTTTTGGTCTGTAAAAATGGCTACAAGGAAGTGGGGGAAAAAAGGAGAAATCATGTGAATAGCTGTGCAGGTGCAACTGGAGGCTACACCCCACCCCCCGATTGCTTCACTTAGTTACATTCAGTTTCTTGACCACTGTGGTACCATGTCTTTCACATACGATACACTTGCCTGTAAAAAGTTTCTTTGCGAAACATTAGATATAAAGAAATGCTTTAAGAAAAACAATGTGTTCCAAGTCACAAAATGCGAAGCTCTGAAGGTTTTCAGGTCTCTGCTGAAGACCTTTCTTTTCGACCGCGCTTTTAGTCACCTTCCTCCCCCTCCCATTAGCTCGGCCCTGGGATCCGTGACTGTGAAGCGCTCTGAGACGCCGTCCGGCGTGGAGGGCGCTATATAAATCCAAGTTGTTGTTGTATTATTTCACGTCAAGATAGCCTGAATGATTGCTAAAAATTAACTCTCTCGCAGCAAGAAAAGTTTTTAATTTCCTGCCCGAACACTGATTGTCCAGCGCTTTGGGACATCCTCCCGATGTGAAAGACAGTATACTAATGCCTGCATGAATAAATCATTTTTTTCCTGAATTACCATTTCTGTCTTAAAAGATACACGTGACTTGATCCATCAGTTGCAAACCAGAAACGGCACGCCAGAAGCTGAATAATAACTTCAGACTAGTTAGTCTTGTACAGGTTCATAAATTCAACTTCAGAAACAATAATATTAATAATAATCCTTGCAGTTGATAAGGTGTCTTATCACGTCTTCTGGACGTCTCAAAGCGCGTTGCAGAATATACTGTAAAGCAAACTGACTGTATATTTTGTGGGCAAAACGCAGCAGCCAATTGCTCACAGCAGCGTCCCACAAACAATCGTGGGTTGAGAAGTTTGAAGTTAAGTGCTACAAAGTCCTTACTTTTAGTTAACTAGATCTAACTTAAATTCAGTTTTCTTTCCACAGGAGGTTTGGTTCAGTCATGATTCATGTGTGAGTTTTGACAGAAAGTGTTGGCAGGTTATTGACTGCATACCTAGTTCTCGTCTGACATCCACCCACACACCTTTGAGTAGGCGTCTTGGAATAGTGATCAGAAGCTGTGACTAATTGCTGTGTCCCAACTGCTGCCCAACTAAGATCAACTAAATGAATACAGACCAGGGTACAAACCTGTTACCTTCCATCCAGGCATACATCTTGGGAGGAGGAAGAGAGGTAGCTACTTAAAATTGATTAAAACCTATCTAAGAAATTTAGCAATTATCATAAATTAATAAAAGTATGTATTTACACTGATTTTAGACAATGTAATAGTGAAACAGTCGCATAGAATTCAAGTGCTTGAATACCAAAGTGTCTGAAACAACATGGCATGTATACTAAATATACATATAGGCACAGGATACTGGGAAAGTAGCAATTAGTCAATCCTCGTGAAAAAAAATAACAGTATCTCACGCAGAGGTTTGCTACATTGGCAGCAGACAATAGAGTGGACTAGATTTTCTTTTTATCAACAACAAATTATAGTCAAGGATTTGGACTCGAGCTGGGGATGGGGATCAGGAGGGTTGAGTGAAAGCGCGGTCGAAGAGGAGGGTCTTAAGATGGGCCTTAAAGCCTTTTAGGGGATCCTATTAACCCTTTTAAATTATTATGGAAGATCAAAGATAGCAAATGTATAGATTTTTCTAAAGTTTGCACAAATGTGGGCGAATTCTACATCCAGTCATTTTTGCTCAGCAAAAACACAAGTAGACAGCAGCAGAATGTGTGTTATAAAGAGACTCAAATAATTAAATGTATAAAAAGAAACTAGCCTAGGATACCTGAAAGTTCTTGGGAGAAAATAGGTGAACCTCCAGTTGATATTTTTAAGATAAACATTAGAAGTAAACAGCATATAAACTGAGACATCAACCAAGAAATTATAGATTATTGCTGCAGTGAAGAATACGTCTTGAAAGCATTGTAAGAGATGCTTTCAAAGCTCATCTAACAAACAGACTTTACAAGGAGTAGTAATAGTAATCGATGCATTTGATACGCCTTACCATGTCTTCGAGACGTCTCAAAGTGCTTCACAGCATATACTGTAAAGTGGAGTGACCGTCAAAATGACTTCAAAGCCAACATGAATTTAGTGGGAAGAAGTAATTAAAACCTGTGGATGTGGAGGAGGCTGGGCCAAAGTGCCTTCTTCAGCCAAACCTCTTTTGTGAAGGCAAGCTTGATAACCTAAATTCTGTTCTGATTTCATGCTTCAGAAATGAACATACATGTGAATTCACTCGTAGCAAGAAGCAAAAATTAAGAATCAGAATATTTTAGGTATTTACTTCTTCAACTTCTTCGTGATGTTCTTCGTTGTGACCGTCTCTCAAGGAGTTATCACTAGAACTGTCATCGTCATAACTTTCAAGAGCCTTAAGGTCTTCGACATCAATAATTCCTAGTATGTCAGTGTCCTCCACATCCCGCAGGTTACCAATTTCTTCATCAGAGGAAGTGTCATTGGTGCCATCCATCTGGGGAATGGGTGACACATGTTCCTCCTCCTCTGGATCTGCTGTAACCATCAGCAAAGTCTCATTCACCTGAATAAATTTAATAAAACAAAATCAATCTATTGAAATAACAAAAGTTGCAAGTTCCTCTGACAGTTCAGGTGACAGAGTTGAGTCAAGCAAGAGGTAAGAATGGTATAAATGGATAGAAATGGGAGAACAAATTAGCCCTAATTTTCACTTCTGATATGCAATGATCACTGCATGAGTGGGCTTCAGGAGAGGAACAAAGTTGGACTTGTTTGTGAATCCCTCAATGGTCAAGCATGACCATAGGCCTCCAAATAAGAAATGGAGACACCAGTAAATCATGCTGCACGAGTAATACCTTCAGAATAGTAGGGAGAAAATCGGGGGGGGGGGGGGAGTGTTCAAAGAGTACAAAAGAAGTAATGTTACATTTATATAAAATCTTGGTTAGACCCCTTGTGTTGTACTGTGTGCAGATCTGGTCGACATACCACAGGAAAGATATAGTAGCAACGGAGAGAGTGCACCATAGATTTATTAGGATGTTACCACAAATGACTGGACAGACAGCAAAAAATACTGGGCAGTTTAAGGCTTTTTCGCTGGAGATGGGACGACTGAGAAGGTTCCTGACAAGAGATGCTTAGAATCAGGAAAGGATTTGATAAGGTGGACATAAATAGGCTGTTTACACTCATTGGTGAGTCCAAAACAAGGTGTAAAATAAATATTAGACTGGAAGATCTAAAAGAGAGTTCAAGAGAGAAACTTTACACAAGAGGGTGGTGACAATATGGAACTCCCTGCCAGAGGCTGCAGTTGAAGCAGAATAGATGAATATATTAAAGAGGAAACTTGATACATTTGTGAGAGAATGGAATAAAGGAATAATGGAGGAGAATATGGAGAAGGGATTAAGTAGGAGGGAGACTCACGTGGAATATAAGTACTTGCATGGACCCATTGGGATGAATGGCCTGTTTTGTTGCTATGCCAACTCACTATCATTGGAAATGGTTTCTATCTATTCACTATCAAAATTCCTCAATATTTTTAAACAGAACACCTTGGATCAACCATAACAACTTGTATTTATATAACTTCACCTTGGATTTCAGCCCTTTACGCAGATAGCGACTTGGAGCACTCAGAGCAGGGGTTCTGGAAGAGAAAAGGAAAAAGAAAAGGGAACGGAGAATGAGGGGGCAAATATTCCCAGGCTCCACAAGATTGGAAATGACAAGGAATCAGGGAAATGTTATCCGACTGATCACTCTGCTAAGGAATTGGTACCAGGAAAGCAAAACATTAGGATTAATATGACATCATAGAGACAATCTTTTCGCGTCCAAAGTTTACTCAACTCTACTTAGAAGTTGGGTGTTAAAATCGACAGAATAACTTTTACTTTTCATTTTGTACGTTTCGATGCTTAATTTTTCGACACCCTTACCTGGGGGGGAAGCTGTTGGATGACACGTTGCTCAGGAACATAGACGTTTACACCCTCTTTCTGTTCAGATGCTTGATTTTGTGCAAGTGGCTGTCCTGATGTAATTCTGTCCAAATCTGAAGTTACCGGCTGCTGAGTTTGCCCTATAGCCATTTGCTCATGCACAGCCTGCCCCGGGCCACTTGGTTGTGTAGGAACTCGCTGTTGTTGCTGAGTAACTGTTCCTTGGGTTCCAACTGGCTGGTTCTGAACAGTGGGTGGCCTCATCTGCACTTTCATCCCAGGGTGTTGTTGAAAGACTACCTGCTTTACAGCACCTGCCTGTTGAATGTACAGTTGTGTCGACATGCCAGGCTGCTGGAAAATGGACTGACCAACTACATCAAATGATTGGTTTGTCATTAGCTGCTGTTGTGAAGAAACCTGACCTGAACTAGATTGTTGGATCGTAGCTGCTTGGTCATGGGAAGGCTTCTGAACAGCAGCAGTTTGACCAGACACTGTGCTCTGCTGCAAAAGTGATGTCTGCCCTGCAACTGGGGTGACTTGATGAATGATATGATGAACAGGCTGCTGGAAATATTTTTGACCTCCAGCGCTTTGAGTTACCATCACTGGGACATTGACTTTGTACATAAGACCTGTAAGTACAAAGAGTGAAAGAAATCAAGGACATAGTTTTGCAACTAGGTGGTGAGCATAGAATGCTAAACCAGTCCGTGATGATATCTAGCAATAAGTACCAAAGGAAGCAGGGAAGGCAACAACAACAACCAAGAACAGGTTCATGAACGAGTCCCAAGACAGTTACCTGAAGCAGTTTGCAAAGTGACTCCAGCAGGGACCTGGATGGGAAGACTGATTCCAGAAGGCAAGGTCAGAGTGGTTGCAGTTCCTGAAGTGCTCTATAAAAACAATACACAGAAAAATTTTACTCGGCAATTACTGGCTTATGTTTATATATGGTATCTTTCATATTGGGAGAATGTCTCAAAGCACTTAAAAAACTGACTTGGAGCCCAAACCCGAAGGGAGGGAGCTGCTAAGGAGAAGGGAAAAGTGGCTGAAATCATAGTTGGGGGTAGGTCTTAAAGTAAGTGCTGAAGTGGAGAGGGAGGGAGAAAGGCAGACCCAGGGATGGAGTTTCAGAGTATTCAAAGACTTGCCCATCGATCATGTATCCAGTTGCGAATCACCCATTTTCAATCCAGCATTTATATATTAAAAAATTAACATTCAGCAAAACATAGAACACTCAGTGATACCAGGAAGGGGGAAAGATGATGTGCTTTAGATTTGTCTAATATGGAGGATTCTACTGAGGGCTTCCCTCAGATGCACCCTCCTAGTCATCGATATTAAAACAACATTGGGAAAGGCCATGGAGCAAGGCAGCAACTAGCTCCCTCATCCGCAAGAAATGATTGCTGGTGGAGAAACCTAAAAATAAGGGAAAAGTAGGATAAAAACAACAGGAAATGCTACTTTGTAATGTAAATACAATACTTACCATCTCCGCTGTTGTAAAATTCTGCATACTTCTACCAGCTGGTACTACAATGGAAGCTGCAACAAACATAAGACCTTACAGTTCAATTTCACAATGTGGACAAAGGCTTCTAAGAAGCAATAGAAAAAAAGAGTTAATGTTGCTGTTAGGTTTACTTCTCAATGATGTTGGGCAAGGGCAAAATTAGGCCAGCCTAACTTATTTCCAAATTGTAAATTTAGTTGAAAATAGCAACGTAGCATTGGAAAATATGTTTAGCGGGATGCCAGTTCACCACAACAATAAAGCAAATCTGAGATAAAACAGTATTCTGCTACCCTGCATTTAGTAGAAATCAGAAATATAAACAGAAACCCAAGCAGGTCAATTCACATCTGAAGAGAAATGCGGGTTAATATTTCTGTCATGAACTTTCATCAGATCTGAAGTGGAAACTCTCTCTCCATATCACCTGGAATTACAACACACAGCATAATCGGTAAGCTTTTCAAAATGGGGGATACTCAGGCAAATCTGCCTTCACCCAATTTTATTTGCACATGCACTTTGCAGCAGGAAGGTCACTAGAGAGTGATTTAGACTGAGATCAACCACAGCTGATTTCCTGTTTTCTAGCACAGTGCCATTGAGACAAATTGTAGAGCCTCAACAAACCCCCTGACTTTCAGCAGCTAACTCAACTCAGATCGAGGATTAAACCTGGGATCTTCTGGGTGTGCACAATTCTACGAAACTGGCATTTGCATCGTAGTTACAGGTGTTCAGTATAAAACAGACGCAAATATCCTTTGAGCTGAAACTTTATGTGATTCCTTTGGCCGCAAGTGCTAAAGATACCAAGTGGCATAGGACTGAGCCATACAGATCAGAAGATTGTGGATTCAATTCCTGGTCTGTGCTAAGATACCTGATCTCAGCTCTAACACCGTAATTTACTTCAGCTTGAGGAAGAGGGAAAGAAATAGCCAGCACTCTTGTTCTTTATTGTTTTCAACTGTCTGGAAAGAACACATGTGCAGATATGATCTGACTGGTCTGCAATCCTTCAACTAGTTGGATGTCTAATGCCTTGCAAACAAAGCATGCAAAGCAATGTACTGGAAGGTGGGCAGCTCACATCAAAACCCACCTTAGCAAGTGGGTCAGTACCTCTACGGGGAGTAAACCAACTCCCTCTCTCTCCCTATTATCTAAACAAAATGCAATTTTACTATGATCAGCTTCTGTGACAAAATTGTGTGCTTTCAGCAACTGGAACCAAACGGGCAACTTTCAAACAAGCCTCATTATAGGAACAACATAGCAGCAGCAATAATCACTGTTAATAATTATGCTGTGCATCACAGGTGTTCATAGGAACATAGGAACAGGAATAGGTCATTCAGCCCTTTGAGCCTGTCCCACCATTTAATTAGATCAACTAATCCTTTCAATTCCCATTTTCCGCTTTCTCCCCATATTCCTTAATTTCCAGATCTACCAAAAATCTAGCAACCTCACTCTTGAAGGTGTGGATGGATCCAGCATCCACGGCCTTTTGGGGGAGAGAATTCCAGATTTCTACCACTCTTTGATTGAAAAAAATACTTCCTGATTTCTCTCTTAAATGGCCTGGGTCTAATTTTAAGCAATTTTTACCTTGTTTTGGATTCCCCCTCCAGAGGAAGTAGCTTCTCAGTATCTACCCTATCGAATCCCTTTATCATCTTAAATACCTTAATCAAATCACCCCTCAATCTTCTAAACTCAAGGGAATACGATCAAAGTTTACGCATAACTTAACCCTTTTAGGCCTGGTAACATTCTGGTGAACCTGCGCTGCACCTTCTCCAGGACCAAAATATCTTTCCTGAGGTGTGGTTCCCAAAACTGAATACAGTACTCCAGATAGGGTCTGACTAACGCTCTATACAGCTGAAGCAATGTTTCCTCCCCTTTGTATTCCAGGCCCCTTGAGATAAAGGCAAACATTCTATTTGCCTTTTTGATCACTTTTTTGTACCTGAGAACTTAGTTTTTAGTGATTTGTGGATATGGACATTCAAATCTCTTTGCTCCTCCACAGTTCTTAATTTCTCCCCATTAAGAAAATATTCTGCTTTATCTTTTTTCAGTCCATAGTGGATGACCTCACACTTCCCTACATTGAACGCCATCTGCCACAGATTTGTCCGCTCACTTAATCTGTCTAAGTCCCTATGTAACTTCCTACTTCCATCTACACAACTTACTGAGACTCCAAACTTAGTGTCATCTGCAAACTTGGATATAAAACTTTCTATTCCTTCATCCAAGTCACTTATATATATATGGTGAATAGTTGAGATCCCAGTACAGACCCCTGGGGGACATCGATTGTCATGTCCTGCTAATCAGAGAATGTTCCCTTAATCCCTTCTCTCTGTTTCCTGCCTCCCAACCAATTACAAAGCCACATCACAAGGTTAGCTCCGACTCCATGTGCTTTCATTTTCACTAATAATCTTTTGTGTGGAACCTTAACAAATGTCTATGCGACATCCAAAGACATTCTCTTATCCACCATTTTAGTGACCTCCTCAAAAAATTAAACTAGATTATTCAGACACAACCTACTCTTCACAAACCGATGCTGACTCTCTTTGACTAGCTCATACCTGTCCTCTCTTGGTTGCCTCTACCTCAACAAAGATTTCCCACTCTTTTGCTGAATGAAAGAGTTCTCTCTTGCTCTCTGGTATCTCTCTTGCTAAAGAATTCTCACTCACCTAATTCCCTAACAGAATTCTTACTCCGTTCCACCTCACTCAGTTCCCTCCTCACGCTGCTGGGCTCTGTTCCTTTCTAAACTTCCGGTTATGGGGAGAGGGGAAGAAGAGAAAGTTGGGACACTCAAGCTATCTCTGATGAATTACTTTTTAATTTCAAGCAGCACATGCTGTTCCCCTTTTCTTAACAAGTGTACCACAGAGTGGTTCAGAATCATTTGTACTTTTCTCGGAAACAAAGCAAAGGTTTGTACAGAATGTATTGAGGTATGATGGAAGCACACCTTGACAGGTTTGTTCTTAGCAATCTCCAAAGTCAACGGTAGAAAATATTCAGGTTTTCTTTTACCCGCAGTTTCATTTCAATTGTAAGATTGTTCAAAAAAAAATCACATTTTAGGTCACCAGTGATCCAGTGGTCCTCAGACAAAATGAACATCAGCTGCAATGTTTGATATGGTCAACCTAGGTGCATACCCTGTTGGACCCTGTAAGGTTCTAGCTGTCTCCTCTGATTCCGTAGTCTCTTCCCTAGCTTGGTGTGATCATAAATCTAAGTACCTTGCACTGAGTCCGTGAATCCAGGTGATTTTGTACACTTGAAAGAACTGCAAAACTCTGCACCATCTGAAATTTTAAGACAATAGTCTTAAGAGCATGCATGATTTCAGGCTTCTAATGGATAGGACCTTACTCTCCTGTCTCCCTGCAGTAGAACCCAATTATAACACATTAATTGGGGGAGGGGGGAGATAAAATCCCAACCAGCACTATAACAGAACGTGTGATCTGCATTCACTGCATATACTGCAAAGTCAGTTTGCTTAAAAGGAAGGCTGGTCTTTTACATGCTAAAAAATAGCCAACTTCCAGGTAATCAAGTTACCAACGCTGCCATCAATTTGTGTATTCCGGGATGCTACCCTGCATGAAGGCCGCTATATAAATGCAAGTTGTTGTTGCGTTGCATTTGGAAGTCAGCCAGCCAGCTGGTTCTTTTGCATTTTTTGGTAAGTGAATGTCAGGGCCCATACCTCAATCGTATCATAATGAAGTGTGTTAGATCAGAATTCTATTGTATTCAGTTGCAGATAGTAACCCGGTTTAACTGAAAGGCATTCATTTCACAGGAAAGGGGGATTCACTTGCAAGGGATTCAACCAATATTAATATTACTGCTGCATCTATGCTTTGTAAAGGTTTAGTAAAGCAAGTTATTGCTAAGGATTTCCTTTCCACTATTAAACAAAATGTCCCATATCCTCCCATAAAATGATTCAATATAGGACCCACGTAAATATGAATATCTAGAAAAGCAACTTAAAATCAGAGAGAAAACAAGCTGATACGATTTCTAGGAGATAAATACTTAGCTTATCTTACTAATTTTCCAGGAGCATGGAAAGTGTTAAGAGATGATAACCTTTGTTTCTGAGTCAGATACAGCAAGTAAGGTAAAACCAACTGGATTCAGGATGTGCTATCTTCCGACCTAACAATTAAATTGTAGAAACGAGCACAGAAAAGCAATTGCCAACAGTGTTAACAACTTCAAACAAATATAGTTCTCTGAAAGAGAACAATTCTTAGTGCTTACTGCCACCTGCAGCTGGTGACTCATGCCTATTCTATCTCTCTTTCTCTGTCTATTCTTTCACACCGTCAAAAGTCAGGACCAGCACGTACATCATCCAATGCTAGATCACGTCTATAACAACAAAATGTCTCAAAGGTAATATTAATCAAGTGTTGCAGTCAAATATAGCAATTAATTTAAATTCAATGGAGCCCACAAACAGCCAAATAGCAGTGCGTTGTTGGAGGTATCAAATGTTTCAAATAAGCCTTTAAACAACCTCTCTGGAAACCCGTTCCAGGTGTTCATTGTACCCAGATAAAGAAATGCTTCCTGATGTTTTCCCTTAACCTGCATTCCACATTCCTGAACTTATTTGTCTTGCTGACATTGCACGATTAAAACTACTGCAAATATTTGAGTAACTTCATTAATGCAGTTCTATTTAATTTCAGCATCACATTGCATGAGGTAAACACATTAAAAAAATCATTCATTTGGGGAGACTGAAATTTCTCGTTGACCCACTGAAAATCTTTGGGTTAAGACCCATGCAACTTGGGAGATACGTCAAATAGACAAAAACATTTTTAAAAGTCTGTATCCTCTGCTTGAAATCTTTTTTTTCCATCTTCAATTGGTGCAACTAAGATTAATTCACCAGATAAACTTCTATATTTTACACTGAAATACACCCTAACACAATTTGCATTTGAGTCGTGCTCTTCGCATAGGGTAACATCTCAGAGCGCTCAAAAGACCTATAACCCAAAATTAAAAACCTTAAGGTTTTATTCTTCTTTCTGTGCAACCAGACACGAGAAATATATGCTAAGGAAACATTTTAGTATACTAGTTTGAAAGATACTTTGTACTGCATCACAAAATATTGTACCTTTGTTGGACACCAGTGGAGGGGAAATTAAATTCTTTGTCCTACTTTTCCACATCGAATGTTACAGTTGACAGAATAGCTCAATGTACCAGATATAGAGCAAAGCTCCCTCTACTCCCCACTAACAATCTGCCTTAATCCCAACCAAAGAGCTAGAACATGTCTTTAAACCTCATGTGCCACACTCATAGCCTCTTCCTGAGCAAGAATGCCAGTTTAGAACTGGATTAGGAGTTGTTTTTACTGCACTTTGATAACACAAGACCATTATTAGTTTCTGAAGAATTTTTCGAAGCGAAGATGCCAAAATACAAAGCATAATTAATAATGGGTCAGAACAAGTGCTAGATCAACATAATTAATTTACAATAAATTGAAGGAACCATTTAATTTAGATTAAGTATAAATCATTCTAATACAACGACATGTAAGGAAATACTTCATAAGATTAATTTCAAATGACCCAGTGAGTGCTGGACTAATAAAGCAGGCTAAATAAAAAAGGTTATAGTTATTGGTCAAACCTGTTAATGTGTGCACAGTCTGATGAGTGTTTTGCTTCTGAAGATCTAACATGATCTTTTGGTGATTATTCTCACTATCCAAGCCTTCCACAGCTTTGGAATGGAGTATTTTATTCTCCCAAAGCTTATTGAGAAAAAGAGAAGGTGTTAACACGCACACGCACACAAGTAAATGTTAGAAATCTGAAAAAAAAGAAAATGTTGCAAAGACAGTGGACCAAATGGCTCTTTAAAAAGACAGATGAGGTAAGATTTTGGGTAGATAAATGCCGATTCCCCTGCTGTGTATTGCCATTTGATTTCAAACCTTTATGGTAAAATAGATATTAGCAGTGAAAGCAAAACAAAAGGAACTAACTATCCAGCAATCTCACTAAAATTTGTATTGTATCCAAATGCCAAGCTCTTCTACAAGGGGAAGCCTGTTACAGTAGTGAACCCATTTCATATTATCTTGTATGCACATTTCATATTATCTTGTATGCACAAAGTGATTGCTTGCTTATATAGCACATAGCTCTCAGCACCTTTAGCAAATCATGAACCATGAAGAGTGAAGAGATTTAACATACAAAATGATAATAGGAGACAGTGTGGAGTCCTGTAGCTTTGTGTTTAGACCGTGCGCCTCACAAGCGAGATGACATGGGTTTGATCCCGGGCAGGGCAAAATGTTGGGCAAGTTTCCTTACTCCACACGCCTGTTTACCTAGCAGTAAGTAGGAGCCCAGTTGTTAGTCGATTGGTGATCGCTTTGCCAGGGGCAATGAACAGTCAACTAAAATGTGGATAGATGTTTTCAATGGGTCAAATGACCTCCTACTGTTTTGCAGATTTCTATGATTTAATTACAGAATGCCACTGTGGTAGATAAACTAAATAAACTTCTCTTGGTGTTTACATCTTTAAAAAAATGTTCAAGCAACATGAATTACACTGCGCTGCAACAGAAGAAAAAAATAATTTACAGCCCAGCTTGAATTCTTCAAACTTCATCAGGTACATGACCTGGTGTCAGAAGTTCTAAGACGTCTGAGAAAATCTCTGACCTGCTAACTCTTCAGGTTAGATTTTTGAGTGAAAATGGAAGATAAATTACCAATGCATCATATTTTCTGAGAGTAATAAACAGGAAAAGCAGAGATCAATTTAGCTTGGTCGAGGATATGAAATGTTTAAATTACCAAGACCGACGACGACATGTGTGTAGGATGATATATAAGATTTACCTTTTTAATAAAAGGAAAAATGCAAAATGTTACGCTGGAATCACTTACTTGTTTTAGGTCCTTAAGAATCTGATCATCGATTCCCTCTTCTACAAAAACATCCTGTAAATTGCTGATGACATCTTCAATAACAGATTGATAGAATCTGGGCTGGAATGAAAATCTGCAAGTTACTTTAAATATGCTTGCCTGTTTAATTTGTCTTTAAAATAAATGTGCTTTTCGCACCATTTTCATGGGATAATTTTCATGAGACTTATTGCAGGAGATGAGTTTCAATCTCCTCCCTCCACCTACAACTCCCTCCATCTCCCACCCTCCTCAGACTCCCACTCCATCTTTATTAAGCATCTTTTGACATTATCTTGTATGAAAAACATACATAAGTGCTGGTGTTGTGGTTTAAAAGCTAACTACCATTAGAGCCACTCTCATACTTTCTTCATCTTGCACAGTTCTCCAACAAGTTTCCCACCCTTACTTTCTTACTATCAATGACAATTTCTCCCGGTGTGTTTCTCCCAACAATCCCCCCAAAAATTGGTCATTCATTTCATGGCTGTTTGGGGGTTACTGGTGTATGGATTTGGCTGTTTACATTCACCTACAAAATATAGTCACTACACCAAAAAAAAGTGTTAGAATTATTATTATTATTTTACAACAGGCTAGTATATAATTTGGTAACTAAATAGATTTTAACCAATGACAATGTTATTGTTATTACCAATGTAAGATAAGCAACCTGTTTTAATTTTTGAACATTTTTAAAGTCATATTTTGTCAACTTCTTTTTTATTGCTACATTTGTTTAAATGGTGAGTGCTAGTCACAGGGTGAGAAAATGGGTTACAGGACTTATCATTTGAAATAACATCAAAAGAGGCGTTGAATGATCGATCAACTGTGAAAAGCAATTCAGCTTCTTCACACCACTGGGCTCACAGTATGCTGTCCGGGTCAAACTGCTCCACGCCAGATCCCCAATATCGCAAAATAAAATGAACAGAAAGAAAAGTAATGTATTTTTTAAATTATTTTTATATGGAGATGCCAAAAAAAAGAATTTTCCCCATCCTAACCAATCTAACCTCTAGTGGCTCAGTTATTCGCAAGATAAACAGTCATGTAGCAAATGTTTCCTTACAAAACCTTTCTTTTTTTCTCTCCTCCCATGTATATTTTTTGTATGCTAATTCTCTCATAGCCTGTTTATGCCGCAATAATAATGATAATCCTTGCATTTGATATAGCGACATATCACATCTCGAGACGTCTCAACGCGTTTCACAGAATATACTGTAAAGTGAATTGACTGTATATTTTGAAGTGTCAAGAATGGTCGTATGTAGAAAGCTGAAAAAAGTGCCTTGTGATTCCCATTAAATGAGCTTTAAATTACCAAGTATCATTGTAGCACTGGTTATCTACAGTATAGTACGAAAACGACTCGTTTGGTGTCAAAAACACAGAATGAAATACAGCAAAACTCTGATAACCTGTCACCCTAATGGAAATAGCTCAAATGACTACTTATCAAAGTTGACTAGTCATCCAAAGTGTGGTGTCTAGAGTACAAATAACTCAAATAGCTGGCATACTGAGTGAGTGACTGACTAGCTATAGGGGATTGACGACTTATCCCAGGGATAAATTATCATAAAATACAGTCAATCCACTTTTCAGTATATCTTGTGAATTACTTTGACACATCTCAACGACATGCTAACGTGCCTTATCAAAGGTAAGGATTACTATAGTTATAATTATCCAAGTTTCACTGAATACTGCAAAAATATACACTAATGGCTTCAGGGATTTAAACATAAAACTTGAGAAAAATAGCATATTTGAAATGATACCAGCAACTCAAATATTAAACAACCAGAGATTAAGATTTCCTTACATTTCCCCTGTTTCAGACCGAGCTGAGCCGAGGTAATGATAATAATAATAAAAATCCTTGCATTTGATATAGCGCTTGATGGCGTCGAGACATCTCAAAGGGCTTCACAGAACATACTGACTGTGTATTTTCAGTGAACGAGTAGTAAACTTACGGAACAGGCTCCCGAGGGACACGGTGGAAGCAGAAAATGTTGTTTGCTTCAAGAACGAACGAGATAAGATTTCTGCTAGAAAATAATCTCTCGGAATACGGTATATAGTTTGGGGACACGACATGTCAAGCGACTGCCTGGATGGCGGAAGGGGAACTTGGACGGACCTCGGTCTTGTTTCACCTGAGCAAGCAAATTCTTGCGTTCTTACGGCTTGCGGATAAGCGGCAATGCCCTGTAGGTTTATGGTTTATAAATTAAGACTGAGAATCGAGAGACAGAAATGTATTTGCCGCGTAAAGAATAGGACTCTGAACTCAGCGCTCAACAACTAATCAGTCGAGAGTGATGCACCTCAAACGTTCTCACAAGTTGGCGGACAGACTGACTTCAAGGCTTCCCATCTGCGACACGTGTCGCTCCAAACACCACCACATACACATGTATTATTATTATATATTATTATACATGATTATAGGTTATATATTGTTATTATGTATTATTATATATTATTATATATTATTATATTGTTATATTATGGTATATATTGTTATATTATTATATAGTTATGTTATATATATTGTTATATTATATATATTGTTTGTATTATATTGTTATATTTTTGTATATTATATGATTATTATATATGATGTGTTATTGTATATTATATTATTATAATATATATTGTTATATTATATATTATTATATATTATATTGTTATATTATATATATATATTGTTATATTATTATATCTTGTTGTTATATATTATATTGTTATATTATTGTATATTATTATATATGATGTGTTATTGTATATTATATTATTATTATATATATATATACTGAAATCCTCAGTGAGTGGGGGACGGACGCCCCTTTGTGAAGTGAAGTGAAGTGAAGCGGTTCCCGGGGCCGTGAGCGAGTTTCGCTGCTTCAAGTGCGGGTGAACTTTCAACGGCCCGAGGGCCAGCGACAGAGCCCCAGCGCGGGCTCCGGCTCCAGCTCCCGTGCGGTGCGGTGCGGTGCGGGGGCCGTGCGGGTCAGGGCCTCCCTCCCTCCCTCCCTCCCCACATGGCTCGGGGTCGGCTCTCACTCCCCTCTCTCTCTCTCTCTCAGGCTCCGGCACCTCTTATCTTACCACCAGTTTGGAGTTAGCCATGTCCTGGACACCAGCCGCGCGGCCCTCCTTCACACCTCTCCCCACCCCCGACCCAACCCCCGCTCCCGCTCCCCCTCCCGCTCCTCCTCTCCCTCACCCCCCACCACCCGCCACGGGCGGTTGCTCGGCGCGCGACGTCAGGAGAACCTTCTGGCGAGCGGCGCGGCGCGACGCGACGCGGCGCCTTGTGTGGTCCGAGCTGTGACGTCACCGGTGCCACGTGCCCAGGGCGACCTGACCGGCCCTGCGGCGCGCAGTGTGACGTCCCGTGACACGCCGGGTGACGTCCGCACGAGGTGGTACCTGTGCCGAGTGGATGGCGCTCAGGGGTGACACCCACGTGACATGTGCTGTGTGATGTCACCTCCCCACGTGACATGTGCTGTGTGATGTCACCCCGTGTGACATGTGCTGTGTGATGTCACCCCCCCCCCCCCCGTGTGACGTGCTATGTGATGTCACAACCCCTCATGTGACATGTGCTGTGTGATGTCACCCCCGTGTGATATGTGCTGTGTGATGTCACAACCCCCGTGTGACATGTGCTGTGTGATGTCACCCACGTGTGACATGTGCTGTGTGATGTCACCCCCCGTGTAACATGTGCTGTGTGATGTCACCCCCGTGTGACATGTGCTGTGTGATGTCACAACCCCCGTGTGACATCTGCTATGTGATGTCACCCCCCGTGTGACATGTGCCGTGTGATGTCACCCCCGTGTGACATGTGCTGTGTGATGTCACCCCCGTGTGACGTGCTGTGTGCTGTCACCCCCCGTGTGACATGTGCTGTGTGATGTCACCCCTGTGTGACATGTGCTGTGTGATGTCACCCCCGTGTGACATGCTGTGTGATGTCACCCCCCCGTGTGACATGTGCTGTGTGATGTCACCCCTGTGTGACATGTACTGTGTGATGTCCCCCCCGTGTGACATGTGCCGTGTGATGTCACCCCTGTGTGACATGTGCTGTGTGATGTCACTCCCCGTGTGACATGTGCCGTGTGATGTCTCCCCCGTGACGTGTGATGTCACCCACCTGACATGTGCCGTGTGATATCACCGCTGAGCGTGTGATGTGACCATCAACTGCTGTGCCCCATCGGCTGCCGCCTTTCGCCCACAACATACGCAGTCAATAGCCCTTACCATCGGTGGTCGGGCCTTCAGCCTCTCAGCCCCGAGGCTCTGGAACTCCATTCCCCAGTGCCTTCGCCGCTTCCTCCCTCTCCTCCTTCAAGGCCGGTCTCAAAACCTTTCTCTTTGACCTTCAGCCTTCAACTCCCCTCTCGACTCTCTTCCTCTTCCTCGCTCCCTCCCTTCCCTCCCCTCACCCTGACCATTTCCCCCCTCCTCGCTCCCTCCCTTTCCTCCCCTCACCCTGACCATTTCCCCCCTCCTCGCTCCCTCCCTTCCCTCCCCTCACCCTGACCATTTCCCCCCTCCTCTCTCCCTCCCCTCCCCTCACCCTGACCATTTCCCCCCTCCTCGCTCCCTCCCTTCCCTCCCCTCACCCTGACCATTTCCCCCCTCCTCTCTCCCTCCCCTCCCCTCACCCTGACCATTTCCCCCCTCCTCGCTCCCTCCCTTCCCTCCCCTCACCCTGACCATTTCCCCCCTCCTCTCTCCCTCCCCTCCCCTCACCCTGACCATTTCCCCCCTCCTCGCTCCCTCCCTTCCCTCCCCTCACCCTGACCATTTCCCCACTGCTCGGGTCCTGACCCAACTGTGCAGCGCCTTGGGACGTCCTCCTGACGTGAAAGGCGCTTTATAAATGGAATCTTGTTGTTGTTGTTGTTACAGTGTATTCTGTGAGAAGCGCTTTGATGCGAGGCGAAGGCGTGATAAGACGCGACATTAAATGCGAGGATTTTTATTTTTATTAAGGCACCAGAGCGTACAATTAAAGCATTCGGAGCAATAATAATAAC